TTGGTTTTGTGGCCCCGCCCCCCCTCAGGTTGCCTGCACGGCTCCAGGCTCCAGGCTCCAGGCTCCAGGCTGACGCTGGGCCCTGCCTCCTCCCTGTACAATAACAACTCCTGGCCCCCGCCCGCGAGAGGGCTGCTGGGAGAGCTAAGGGCATAAGGGAGGGAAAGCCCTCTGAGATGCTCCGGGGAGACACGCAGAGGCATCCTTATCAATAACAGATGCTGGGGCGGGGAGGGGGCGGCGGCCAGCGCACTCAGTTCTGGGGGCAGCGGCCCCGGACGTGCTGTTATTTCATCTGCCCCCTGCGTCAGTGGTGTGGGGAGGGTGGTGGGGGGGCAGGTGGGTGATGCGAGCCCTACCTCACCCCTCCCCGCCCCAGCAGCCCGGACCTTGCCTGCTCCTCTCCTGAGCTCATCCCCGCTCCCACATCCCGGTTCACCCCTGCGAACACGGCCTGGGGCCACCCTGAGGTAGGACACCTTGCCCTTCCTCTCCCCTGTCCAGTGCTGGCCAAACCCCACATCCTCCACGCTACTAGGGACTCGACCATTCCGGACTGTCTGGCTCCACTGCTGCGGAGGATGGCACCGTCTTCGGGTCACATGCTGCTCAAGAGCCGTGCAGGCTCCCAAACAGACCAGGCTGGCCTGTTTGTGCGGAGCCTGCGGCGGCAGCTGGGGCAGGTGTCGGTCCATCCTGATGCAGTGCTCGAACCCACCACCCTGGAGCTCACCGGGGCACTAATCGCCGTGATGCACAGGGCAGGACGGGTCCATACCCGAGACTTACAGCGCTCCAAGGAGCCTTCCGACATTAATCGGACCTCAGAACTGCGGAGACTCACCCCTGCCTCCTCTGCTTAAAGAAGGGGCGTGGGGCTCTAGGACCGGGCTGGCTGCAGGCCACCGAAGACAGTCCAGGTGCAGGCTGGAGCCAGATGCAGCACAAAGGTGTCTGCTTCCTGGGCAGAGGGTTTCAGGCCGGAGGGGACTAGAGGGAGGCAGGAGGCCAACCTCTGCAACCCAAAGAGCCTGGGCCCGTTGTGTTCTAGGGACTCCTGTGCTTTGACTGTGCTGGGCCTTCGGCCTGGGATGCCCTCCCTCGGCCTGACTTGGTTGGCTCCTCTAACTCCACTGGGCTGTCGCCTCCCGCTCGCCTTCCCTTCTGCCCCGGCCCGGCCCTGCCCAGGCTGGCTCAGGTATGCGCTGTGTGCTCCCACAGGGACTTGACATGGCTGCGGGCGGAAGCAGACTGTGGCTTGGGGCCACCACGACCATCAGTAGCTCCACGGGCTGTTTCCTCACCTGTACGTGCAAGGCTGGGCGATCAGGGGAGCGGTTCTAGGGCCGGGCACAGCATCTCGGGCACACGAGCCCTCACCCACGTTACTAATGGGGCACGGTGGGAGGGAACCCTGGCACAGCTCTGGAGCCATGCACAAGGCCTGGGCTCGGATGCCGGGTTCGGGGCACCAGCTGAGTCTGAGATCTGGCTGGCTGCAGGGCTAGGGGAGGATGACGGTGCGGAAGGACCGGTCGGGGGCACCTGTCCCCTCACGCCCTCCCTTTCTCTCTCTCATGACATAAATACCTAGAATAAACCTTTTACACACAGTTGTCCCGGTCTCCACCTACCTCCCCGTGTGAGATCTGCCAGTACGCGCGCAGGTGGAAGCCTGACGATGTCCTGAAAGGTTGCCTAGTGCTAGCTGCCATGTTACAGACGGAAATGAAACCTAGGAAGAGAAGCGTGACCGGGGTGTGTGTGAGGCAGGACAAGAACCCAAGTGTCCTGAGGAGCAGCCCCCAGTGGCCCCTG